TAGCCGAGTCGGTTTTAGATCCAGGGTTTAGTGGAAACTGGTGGTTGTAATATGGTTATGGAATGGAGAATTTGGTAGTTGGAATTGTCATATATGAGCAAGCAATTTTTTCTTTTCAAATAGAGAAAGGTAATGTTCTCTATGAAAATAAAAAGTTATGCTATAGCTTACTTGTATTCATATGTTCTCTTGAAGTACTCGTGTTCGACACCCGTGTTTGATGCATATCTGAACATGGGTACGGAGATTCGGTTCTCGAAAGATCATCCAAATATATGGGAGAACTTAGAACATACCAATATCCGACACGGTGACACTCTCACCTGAGTTTGAGTAGCATGGATTTGCAAGTAGAAGAATATATATCTTTCTTTTTGTGTTACTTTTCTGCTTGTGTTTCAGCTTCCATGAAATGCCCAACTGTTCTCATTAGCACGGCATCTCGAATATTTCGAATAATGTATACAAATCCTTGCAGGTATGACTACTCTGGCTATGGGCAATCATCAGGAAAGGTAATTGTAGCTTGGATCTTCTACTCGGTACCTGTATGAATTAAATGTGTCCGGAAAGCTGTGTCTGATGTTCATATATATGCTTTTGTTCAGCCGAGTGAGCAGCATACGTATGCGGATATCGAAGCCGCTTACAAGTGCCTCGAAGAGAATTATGGAGCCATGCAAGAAAATATTATACTATATGGTCAGTCTGTTGGAAGTGGTCCTACCGTGGATCTCGCTGCTCGTTTACCCCGTCTAAGAGCTGTTGTTCTGCATAGTCCTATATTATCAGGGTTAAGAGTCATGTATCCTGTTAAGCGCTCTTACTGGTTTGACATCTACAAGGTTCTATTCCTCCTCTCTCTCATCGATTCCGTCCCGTAAATTCCGATGCCTGAAGCGTGTGCATGTTAGTTTTTCATCATGTGCCTAACTTGGTTTACATGGTTTTGCAGAATATTGATAAAATCTCATCGGTGAAGTGTCCTGTGCTGATAATTCATGTAAGTCTCTAAAATTCGATATTTTGTGCGTGTGTGAACATATGCTTGTATGTATTTATAAATTGTAACGAATATCTGCAATGGGTGGCTTGCATTAACTCCGGTGATTTCATGTCGGTGACGGAATTTAGGGAACTAACGACGATGTTGTCGACTGCTCTCATGGGAAGCAACTTTGGGAACTTTGCCAAGAGAAATATGAACCGTTATGGGTGAAAGGAGGAAATCACTGTGATTTGGAACTCTACCCGGATTATATTAGGCATCTCAAGAAGTTCATCTCAACTGTTGAGAAGTCGCCTTCTCGAAGAAATGCTTCTCGGAAAAGCACAGATGGTATGGAACAGTCTAGGCAAAGCACCGAATGTTTCGAGGCTCCAAGAAGAAGCATCGACCGCAGGGACAAACCAAGGAAAAGCACTGATACCAGGGACAAACCTAGGAAAAGCACTGATACCCGGGACAAGCCAAGGAAAAGCATAGATAGGCCCGGAAAGTTGAAAGTTGACGAGTACAACAAATTTGACAACATCAACAAGCTCGAAAAGCTTAAAATATCCTTAGACCAGATGGAAAGGATGGGGAGATCACGTCGGAGCGTGGAATGCTTCGATAAATCCCGGAGAAGCGTCGACCTCCAGGTAGAGAAAGGAAGGAAGAGTGTTGACTGGATAGATAGAATCCCAGCTGTTTAGAAAGCTGAAACGGGGAAAAAATAAGTGGAATTGGTTTTGGACTAATAACATAATTGTTTCCGACAGCTGCACGACGCATCGACGACGGTGTTTACGTGTCGTAGGAGTCGCAACGGCAGGATGAAATACGGTTACGAAATGTAGGTTTGGTATATGTTTTTGAATGATTGAAGAATCTAACTTGCATGTTCATGTTGGGGAAGACTGAAAAGCTTTGTAATTAACAACTATTGTTTCACTATAACTCGTGGGAGCTGATAATGACGTGTTATTTTTATTTTTATATATTCAAATTTATTCTCTTGAATTTTATTTAATACATTAATGTTTTTTTATACAGATAAAATAAAATATTATATATAAAAATGCATGTCTGTATAAAAATATTTATATAAAATTCATGTATTTATAAAAAAAATGAACAAATAATCGTATCTGGAATTGAAGATTTGTACAAAATGTATCGTTTTATTTAAATTTATATAAATTCTAAAACAAAAAATAAAATCATTATTAGAATAGCATTATTTAATAGTATAAATTAGGATAAACTGCACTATAGCCACTGAATATTTAGGGAAATTTTCTTTTGGTAATTGAATTTTTAAAACTTGCATTACGATCTTTAATTTTTTTATTCGCTTCCATTGTACATTTTTAAAAATTTAATGATTATTTTATAATAATTTAATTTTTTTTAAAAAAATTAAATTATTAAAATCATTATTTCAACATTGTTTAATAAAAGGGTAAAGTATAGTAATGGTCACTGAACTTTTCTAAAGCTTTCATTTAGGTCCCCCAACTTTTAAAACTTGCTATATAGTCCCCTAACATTTAGTCCGTTTGCAATATGGTCCCCCAACATTTAGTCTATTTGCAATATGGTCACCGGTCGTTTGACGCCGTTACACTGCCGTTAGTACGTTTGCAATATGGTCATTGAACTTTTCAGGAGCTTGCATTTAGGTCCCACAAGTTTTAAAACTTACAACACAATCCTAAATTTCATTCTAAACCCCAAATTCCTTTTCGATCTCGAATTTCCTTTTTTTGCTTCTCTCTTCTCATTTCCAGCATAACTTTTCAGTCGGGGATGAATGGGAAATTCTAATATAACTTTGAATTATGTGGAGGTGTTGAATTGAATAAGGGTCAATTGAGAGAAGATCCGACCAAGGGACTATCGGGACAATCAACGATTCAAGGTGTAATGTTAGATATAGGTCATCTCAGGTGAAGCATAGATGTTCGATGAAATGCTTGTGAGAAGAAAATTGGGTTAGAAATGCATAGTTGACAAATACCACTAAGATGATCTAAGTCTTATTGTTGAAAGTCACCAATAAAGCTGAAATTATTTTGTATAAATGGAATATAATAATTTCTTCGTTTAATCCTTGTTCTTTAAGATTTTCCAACAGATGAACAAATGTAATGAAATCTCAAACATCGCATTCACTTCTTGTTTGATTTTTGTTCTTCAATTTTCCGCCATGTAAAATTGTAAACCCAAGAAGTGCTCTGTCTTTCAGCTTTTTATTTACAAAGAAAAAACGGAGGAAGAATTGTTGGAACGGAACACCGATTGCGTTTATTTCTTAGTTTTTCCCCTCACTTGCAAAAAGGTATTTATTTTTTCTTTTGGGTTATCAGGAAGTAAGCTTTTCCTCTTTCGCACTTTTCCATTTTCAGCTCGCATTGTGTGTTTTTTGTTGAAATTTTTATGTTTCTTGAACTGCATGTCAATGGTCTAGATATTCAATGTTAGTTTTGAACCAAAACCATCTAATTTTCTTTCTTTCTTCTTAATCAAAACTTTTAGTACTCCTTATAAAAGATATTCAGTCCATCAGAATAGAAGAGAAATAGGGTCCTAGGTTAAATTTTTTTATCTTCTTGTTTGGTTTTTCTTTAAATCAGGGAATTGGTTGTGGGTATCAACATAGTGAAATTGCTAGGCTCAATCTGAGAGACTGCTGGTACTAGTTTACTAGGAATTGTATTGATCTGACCTGTGGTTTTCGGCGTCCTGTGATCTCGTATTCTTTTTAATAAGTTCATGTTGATTATGGGACTGATATATCGTGAACAAATTAATTTTTTTTTACATGTTTTGGAAATTTTACAGTTGAATTGTATTGAATTATAGCTTTAGAAGACAACTATGCATGCACACAACTCGAAAGGCATCATGAAAGGTGGTATATTTGGAGCAGCTACTTGACCCTGTCATGATGCCTTTCGAGTTGCGAAAGAGACTGAGAGGTGAATGCGCTGTTTGGGATTTCATTATATTTGATCATCTATTGGAAAATCTTTAAGCACAAGGATTAAAAGAAGAAATTATTATGTCATTTATACAAAATAACTCCAACTTTGTTGGTGACTTTCAACAATGATACTTAGTTCATCTTAGTAGTATTTGTCAACTCTGTATTTCTAACCCCATTTTTTTCTCACAAGCATTTCATCGAACATCTATGTTTCACTTGAGATGACTTGTATCTAACATTACACCTTGAATCGTTGATGGTCCCGATAGTCCCTTGGTCGGGTCTCCTCTCAATAGACCCTTATTCAAGTCAACACCTCCACATAATTCAAAGTTAGATTAGATTTTCTCATGCATCCCCGATTGAAAAGTTACGCTAAAAATAAAAAGAGAAGCGAAAAAGGAAATTCGAGATCGAAAAGAAATTTGGGGTTTATAATGAAATTTAAGATTATGTTGCAAGTTTTAAAAAGTTGGGGGACCTAAATGTAAGCGCCTGAAAAGTTCAGTGACCATATTACAAACGTACTAACGGTAGTGTAACGGCGTCAAACAGTCAGGGACCATATTGAAAATTGACTAAATGTTGGGGGACCTATAACAAACGAACTAAATATTGGGGGATTGTATTGTAAGTTTTAAAAGTTAGGAGACCTAAATAAAATATTTAGAAAAGTTCAGTGACCATTATTATACTTTACCCTTAATAAAATTCTAAAAGGGCACGTGTGAAATGGAACCGTGCATGGAAAGTTTTTCTTCCAGAATTACCCTTTGATTAACTTCACAATTTCAAACTGATAAAAACTCATTGAAGAACTCTCTGTTCCTCACCCTATTTTCTATCGATCCCTCAATTACTTAGCCCAATCCTAATCCAAATCAAAACCCTAAATTGAATTTTAATTCCGATTCCTACGCTGTAAATTTCAACCTACGTCCAATCTTATTATGTAAGTGATCAAAATTCGTTCTTTTCCTTATACTAGAAAATTTTGCGAATTGGATTCCATTTTCCCCCTTTATTGATGTCGAAGAAATTGTGCCAAGAAACAAACGATGTTCAATGTTTCTCAGGTCGCAAGAGGAGTTAGCTAGGGACGCTATAAAACACGCTCTGAAGGCTCTGAAGAAACGGCATTTACTCGAAGAAGGAGCTCATGCTCCTGCATATATTGCTCTTTCCAGGCCCATCATCTCTCAGGTTTTTTTTTCTTTGTTTTTTGGGTTTATTTTTATCATAACAATGTATTGAGTTGCTATTTTTGAAAAAGAGAAGTTATTGTTGAAATAGGAGTTTGTGATTATTATGTTGCAAGATTGTGAAAACAAGTGCGTTTCGATTAAATAATTGGATAAATCATTGGCTTCCCATTAGAATAGAAAGCCCCTATGCAATGTTTTCGGTCCGGTGAGTATCGATACAGTTATGTGTTCATTCGAGTCCATTCAATTATTCTTTAAAAGCTTTTGCATGTATTTGGAGGGTTATTTCCTACACGTATCTCTGGTATGTGTGAGACACAAGTCTTAAAAGTAAAATGAAGAGTCGGAGCAATATAAATATTGGATATTTGACTTTGTACATGGATGTAGGCGTGAGTGTTGGATACATGTATGTGCCCGACACAAATATGTGCAATTTTTTCAAAGTTTTCCATGGATTTTCAGATCATATCTTCATAACTATGTTCAAATGTACATTGAAAACAAACGTCAGAGATGGATACTTAAAGAAAATTGATTAGTCAGAGTAAAGTAATTGGTGAATTTCTTTGTAGGGTTCGGAATGGAAAGATAAAGCTGAAAGCTTGGAACTGGAACTTCAACAATGCTACAAAGCACAGTCTAGATTGTCCGAGCAACTAGTGGTTGAAGTAGCTGAGTCTCGAGCTCTAAAAGCCTCTCTACAAGAGAAAGAAACAACTATTGCTGAATTGGAGAAGGAATTGACCCAAACCAGGTTTGGCTGAGTCCTTTTTAGGGTTTTGCGGGCAAGAGTGTTAGTTTTTTTTTGGATTTGAAGTCACCGTGAAATAAATAACTGATGGACTGTTTAAATTGGCAGGGATGAGTGCTCTCAGTTAAAAACAGATTTAGAAGAAAATATTAGAGCTATGGAATTGGTGACGATCGAACACCAGGAACTCAAAGCTCAATTAGAGCAAGTGACTATCAGAGTAAAAGATTTAGAGGCTGAAAATAAAATGTTAGTTGATCGTTGGATGCTTCAGAAAATGCAGGATGCTGAACGGCTTAATGAGGTATGGTATATTGTTATTACAGAAAAAGGTATATTCTGATTTGTTGACTTGGAGAATGATAAATAGCTAGGCCCATATATACTTAAACTTTAAGCATGTTTGGTTTATGATACATTAAGAGTTTGTTCATTCATACAATTTAGCAAAGTCTGAACATGATCAAATTGTCTCTGTTGGCATTATTTGTGACTTTCACGTTTCGATATCGGATGGGAAGCAAAAATTCTTACTATAACAATCAACTCTGAGTTTCTTGCTCCATGGTTAATATGCCTGGAATGATGGTATTTAATCATTAGGGGGTTCTTAAACAACTAATTTCGGTGGCTTAGACCCATCAGCTGTTTAATTGGAGCTGGGCCGATTTTGGGTTTGGACAAAGAGATCATCGTCTTTGCTCGTGTCTTCTTGAGTAACTAGAGGAATTTAGTGGTAACTTATTTGTTTTCATCAACTTTTAGGATTGGTTTTTCATATATTCCTTAACTTTGTTACAAACTAGAGGAGATTAAATGATTGTCATTTAGAGTTATAGAACACTCCAGTGCAAGTTAGAAACCTAAATGACAAATATTAATGGATTGATTTTTTTTTTAAAATCCTATTCCTTAATTGTGAAAGGGTGTAATTTGTTTTTAATATACCTGTTTGATTACAAATATTAGTGCTTAACTTTAGTTTTCCTTTAATTAATTTAGGCAAATGCACTTTACGAAGATATGATTGAGCGGCTCAAGGCCAGTGGTTTAGAAAAACTTGCCCGAGAGCAAGTAGATGGTATTGTCCGTAGAAGTGAAGAAGGTGCTGAGTTCTTCGCAGAATCTACTGTTCCTTCTGTTTGCAAGCACAGGATCAATGCCCATGAAGGTGGTTGTGCTTCAATACTGTTCGAGTATAATTCTGGAAAATTGATCAGCGGGGGACATGATCGATCGGTCAAAATGTGGGATACTAGCACCGGGTCTTTAATCCAAAATCTTTCTGGCTGCCTCGGTTCTGTCCTTGATCTCGCAATTACCCATGACAATAGATTCGTAATAGCAGCAAGCAGTTCAAACAACTTGTTTGTATGGGATGTCAACACAGGACAAATCCGGCATTCTCTCACAGGTCACAAGGATAAAGTTTGTGCTGTGGATGTGAGCAAAGTTTCGAGTCGTCATGTTGTGAGTGCAGCGTATGATCGGACGATAAAAGTGTGGGATTTGCAGAAAGGTTACTGCACCAACACTATAGTTTTTCACAGCAACTGCAATGCTCTTTGCTTCAGCACAGATGGACTGACCATATGCTCGGGTCATGTCGATGGGAATCTCCGTTTGTGGGATATTCAGACCGGAAAATTAGTTAGTGAAGTTGCAGCACATTCACTTCCCATTACATCTATCTCCCTGTCTCGAAACGGAAATGTTGTATTGACGAGTGGCAGAGATAATTTGCATAATTTATTCGATATACGATCTTTGGAAGTTTGTGGTACATTCAAAGCAACTGGAAACAGGGTGGCATCTAATTGGAGTCGCTCATGTATTAGTCCGGATGACAATTATATTGCTGCCGGCTCTGCCGATGGATCCGTTTACATTTGGTCAATATCAAAAGCTGACATTGTAAGCACTCTGAAGGAGCACACTGTTCCAGTAATGTCTTGTACTTGGAGTGGACTCGGAAAACCATTAATCTCTGCAGATAAGAATGGGGTTGTCTGTATCTGGACATGATCCTCTGGCATGTTCAATATTCTCTAGTTATTTTATGTACTTTGAGGGTCCTTGGAGGGTTATATTCCAGTTCGAATATGTCTCATGCATGGGTACGTGAAGAGAAATTACAAGCCAGAGTAACATAAACGTGGAAAACCAGTATAGTTGTATATATATATATACACACGTTTAAAATGATGATTTGTGTATGGAATTCGGTTTTGGTGGTGTTCTATTGAATCCGGCTTGATTCCGATTTCAACAATAGTCAACTTATTCAACCAACTTGATTCCTTGGCATTATTTCATGTCTTTGGCAGTTTCAGCTTGAACCAAAAATTGAAAACCAATAGTTGAATATAAATTTCAGTTTTACAGTGATATTTCAGCAGTCAGTCGGCAATATGAATGAATAGTATATACAACTGGATTAAACTGCTGATCTCAACGAACAATCATGGAAACGAAATAATATTGTAAGGTTTAACTTACTGTTTATCAAGAAGGCTTGCGCAGAATGCCAGATCAAACCTCTCTTCCGGTGGATCTCCGATGCAATCGAACACTGCATCCACATTTAAGAAGTCTTCATCAGCTGTGTAACTGCAACCAAAGGACCACTCAATGTTAAACATGGATTGCTAATGCTTGACATTGACATTGTAGGAAAATCTTGTCAGAGGTTTTTTTCAGATCTCAATTTCCGGTTTTCCGGTTGTATATGGTTGAACTGTAGGACTGGTCGGTGAAAAATGAACATGTAGCAATGGATCTTTAGTTCTCATGTAACACAAATCTACAATTCAGCTGACATCAGGAAGTAGGATATGGTAATTGTTAGGGCAATGTATCACGTCTTCACGTCCTATCATACATATCTTTTGGAAAGAGTAATTGTCTGAGACAAGTGATATCAAAGCGACCATTAGACTATTTGATTTTATGTCGTGCATCCCGATGAGTGGGATAAACAAAGTGGACAATTGTGACGATAGACCCTGATGAGGGCGTCACAAAATTGAATGGGGAAGAAAGTTATATCTTTGAGAGATGGGAGACATTAATCCTACATCGAAAAGGAAAAGGGAGGCCCTGGAGTTTAAAAACGGTGGCCTTATACATCCTATCATACATATATTTTGAGGAGAGAATAATAATTGATTGATTCAACCAAAAAAGAGCCAATGAAAACCAATTTAATCATCTAATTCAGCCATATAATTTACTAGTACAGATTTCTCATTTAGTAAAGAAACTCACCCGCTCTTTGTCACTATTGCAAGTCATTCCAGCGGCTTTGGCAGCAGCAGCAAGTCCTATGGCACTGTCTTCTACAACAATACAGCTTAGGAAAAAAATTGGGAAGAAAAAGAAAATCAGACCTAATCTCCAATATATATCAACAAATGTAAAATAACAACAGATAAACATGAGCTTATATATATACTGATCTTTGAGAATCGATCAAGCACAATATATGCCTATGTTATTCTAAATCTTTATTTTTCTTGAAAGTACTCGTTTCCGACATCAATATCCAACAGATATCTACACTTGGGTAGAGAATATGATACTCCGAGGACTCATCATGGGAATCTCAGGGAAAATTAAACATACTCGTGTTAGACACAGGTCGGACACACCCCGGTGTCGTATTCTCACAACCGAGTCCGAGTAACATATATACACATGATTTAATTAGTCATTTTTGCAACGAAAAACATCAGTAAAGACTACGTTACGATGCAATACCTTGAAGGTTCAACACCAAGTGTGTTTGCTGCTAATGTATAGATGGCCTGCCATAAAGAACATGTACTCTTTAAGATAATCCATCTTCACGTAGACACAAATATGAAAGAACTTGAACCAAGTAAACTGTAACGAGTCTCTAGTGAACCACATCAGAAAAAATGTCCGGTTAAAGGGTTTCTTTGGTAGATAAATGTCCCCTATTTTTTCAATAATGCGTCCCAATTAGATATGCCTCGATTAAAATTATAAATGAATGAAAGTTTGTTTTGTAAATATATATATATAAAAATTAAGAGGGATGAAATACTCACTGGATCAGGTTTCTTTCGAGGAACCACATCTCCGGCAAAAATCTGTATTTTTTCTGCACGTTCTGTTCCCAGTAAACAAGAAACTACTGCAGAGACCCAAAAAAATACTCATTAGATGTACTGCACGCTGCAACTTTTACACCTTTCTCCAGAGCTTGATCAATCAACCTGTTTGATATAATCACAAATAACTCAAAAGGTCAGAATCTAGAAATCTAAAATATCTCAAAATAACACAAACATTTTAGTAGAATGCAAATTTTATCGGATTTGAGTGTGTCAGATACGAGTATGAACCTGAGTGTGTCAGATACGAGTATGCACCTGAGTGTTTCATATAATAACTTTAAGTTATTCTTTCTAAACATACTAAAGAATCAAATTTATGATTAACTTGAATCCTCTAAATAATTAAGTGAATATCATGCTAAACACAAACATTTGAGTACTAAAATCAAAAGCTATCTGGATTCGAGTAAGAGTTGGATATGGATATGTGTTAAAATAATAAACTTTTCCATGGTATTCTTTGTAAACATGTTAAAGAATCACATTTACAACTAATTAAGTGGATGTGATGCCAAACACAAACATTTGAGTAACAAAGTCCAACATTACTCAAGAATCTGACGAGTGTCGGATATGGCATATGGGTATATCTCCCACAATAGGTGTACTTTCGGAAGATCAAACCCATATCATGATATCAATGTCTGAATAAAAGTAATATTTTAAAAGAAAAAGATAACATAGTGATCGAACAATAAAATAAACACTAAGATTTTACATAGAAAACTTTTCAGAAAAAATCACGGGCAGAAGAAAGTCTACATTTATCAAACTAGATTTTTGTACTTTCTCCAATCAATTTGAATCGAATCGAATTCAGATCAAATTCTAACAGAGTCGAACACAAATGTTAAACACGAACTTTATATGGAACATTATAAAGGCTGCATAGGTTAAAAGAAGTAAGTGAGGGACTAACTTGGCTACACCGGGACGAAGTGGTAGCAATCTATTTTCAATAAAGGCCATGAACAACTCGTTTTTCGTTTATGAAGTGAAGCAATGAATTCCTTTCTTTCTTCTTCACTCTTCGGAGCTTTATCAGGCCACCTTGTCTTGTTAAAGTAAGCTGTCATCCTAAAAAACATAGAATTAACTTAGTTGCGTTTAGGAACTTAGATTTTAAAAAAAACTTAAATTGTATAGGAATTTATGAACTGAACAAATTCATGGTTTTTATACTATCAAAATATATATTGTGTTGAAATAAAAAAAATGAATGCATCTCATATTACAAGTTACATGACAAATGAAATTTTCATATCCACGTTTGACATTTCCAAGTATAGCATTAAGAACTTCAAGCTCTTAGAAAAAATAGGGTAAACTACCTATTTGCTACCCAGCTATTTTTGTGCTTTCGTTTTGGTCACTTAACTATTTTTTTTTCAAAATCATAGTCGTTAAGTTTTATCCTTGACTAAAAGTTAATGGTGATATGACATGGTATAATAACAATTTTAGTCCTCAAAACTTATACATTCTATCAAATTGATAATTATTCAATAAATCCATTATATTTAAATATTAAGGATTTATTGAATTGTATCGAATTAAGAACAATTTGATGGATGGAATATGTAAGTTTTAAAACTAAAATTGTAATTATATCATGTCAAGTCATCTTATCAAAACGGAAACAAAACATAATGTTAAGTATTATTTAACAAAAATGAATAACTGGATGATCAAAACAGAAATATCGGAATAAATGGAATACTAAACATACAATTAACCAAAGAATTTGTAAAAGAGATCACCTTTCTTTACCACTACCAATTTTGAGCAATTCACCGTACAATTCCACATCCCATGTAACGCCTAATTCTTTCTGCAATTCGCATAATAAAAAAAATCCCTACAAATTAAAAAAAAATCACACAAAAAAAGACAAAAATTGAAAAGAGTGTTAAATTTACTTACTTCATTGAAAGTATCATTGAACGAAACCTTGTGGCCATCCTTCTCAGTATCAACGACAACGCCATCTCAGAAGGAAAAGTACTCGAAGACGAAGAAGAAGAAGCCGATGAGCATTTGATCCTGAAAGTAGTAGAAATTTGCTTCGTTACTGAAAAAGTAGAGAGTGAACGAGATGGTGAGTTCTTTGTAATGAATAAACGGCGGTGGACGAAAGCGGGAGCTTTGGGTTTGACGGTAGAAGAAGAAGAAGAAGACGATGATGAAGGAATTGTTGGCAGTGAAAGAGAGATGGCGGTTCCGTCTTTCAACGAATCGAACCTGATCGGGTCTAATTTAGGATGTGGTAAACTACACCCATTGTCACTTTCGTTTTCGGTTTGTTTTATTTTGATCATCGGTTTTTTAAAATTATGTTTCCATCATTTATATAATTAACTTATTATATTTTGTCACTAAGTTATTAATTCTCGTTAGATTGATGATGTGATATATTAAAATTGATAAACTTTTAATTTGATTTTTAAACTTTTAAAAAATATTAATTTAATCTTAAATTCTTGTATCTTTTTTTACCTCACATCGTCGTCGTTTACTATCAACACTACTCCTGTCACATCCTCTAATAGGTCATGAATCTGATGACGTTCATCTTCGTTCCCTTCTTTCCACCTTCCTTTTTCATCTCTTTCCCCTTTCTTCTCTCCATTCCCCAGCCATAATCTAGAGAACCTAAAAAATCATTTCCAATGGTCACCATATCAATCCAACACTTCTTCAGCTCCTTCTCTATTAACTTTTTCAATCCTTTAAAATTTGAGAAAATAATCACTCTAACTTCTAATTTTTTAAAACAGTTTGTCCCTCGAAATTTATTTTGAGAAAAAATATCACTGGTTGGAATATGAACTATTAGTTGACTAATGATCAACGTTTGTCGTTAATGCAATAAGTCTTATGTATTCAAAGTGCGAAATGACATGTACTATATAATCATTTATATATACATGATATGTGACACCTCATCACTTAGACACATGTGATATGTACCACTTTATCACTAATGCACGTATGATATGTGCCATATTATCATGTACAT